CACTACTAAAGTAGGGACGGTTAGCGGAGATAGCCCTCGTGTAGCTTTGCGCGACATTCAAACCAAACCAACTGATTGGTGGTTAACTTCGCCTAATATGGTCGCCGTTATTCAATTCTTACCTATGCCTCCTACTATTTCACAATAATTCGGGAACCTTCTAGTGTTTTCTGTCAAGTTTTTAGTAACATTTACAATATATTATCGCTTGAAATGATTTTCTTCGCCAATTTCTGAAAGAAAAGACTTAATTTGTGGTTTGTTCCGGTCCAGTTTTATTTTCTTTATTCCAACAACTATGTTTTATTGTTAATGTTACCCACGCTTTATGTTTTATTCAGGTGTTTCCTTGAGAAATATTACATTATATAATTTCAATTTCTACTATAAATTGTTTATGTTATAAGTTCTACTCCACCAAGAAGGACATAAGATAAGCGCGAAAGCTAGAGACTAAATAAAGTTTAAATTTCTATTACAGCCGACGATAAAAGAACAGTACAACATGTGGCTATAGACTAAAGAAAGTTAATATTTCTATTCCAGCCGACGATAAAAGAACTGTACAACATGTAGCTATAGACTAAAGAAAGTTTATATTTTTATTCCAGCCGACGCTAAAAGAACAGTACAACATGTAGCTATAGACTAAAGAAAGTTAATATTTCTATTCCAGCCGACGATAAAAGAACTATACAACATGTAGCTATAGACTAAAGAAAGTTTCAATTTCTATTACAGCCGACGATAAAAGACCAGTACAACATGTAGCTAGAGACTAAAAAATTTTATATTTTTATTCCAGCCGACGCTAAAAGAACAGTACAACATGTGGCTATAGACTAAAGAAAGTTAATATTTCTATTCCAGCCGACGATAAAAGAACAGTACAACATGTGGCTATAGACTAAAGAAAGTTTATATTCTTATTCCAGCCGACGCTAAAAGAACTGTACAACATGTAGCTATAGACTAAAGAAAGTTTAAATTTCTATTACAGCCGACGCTAAAAGAACAGTACAACATGTTTGCTTTCCGAGATGCTGGCATTGACTTGAAAATGTTTGAGAAATTCAGCATTGAGGACTGTGAGTTCAAAGATGAAACGGAATATTTCCAAATCCTTTTTGAAGGTAAATTTATTCGTTTTTATATCCGTTTCTAAACTGTATTTGATATGAAGGACCCCAGTTCCTCAGCGGTAACATTGAAGCCTAATAATGCTAAAATTCTGCGTTTGATCCCTGCGGTGGTCTGAGAACAGATAGTCTGTCTGTCGTATGATATTTTTCGCAGTGGTAGGAAGGTTCTTAGATATGATTTGTTCTTCTACATTGTTCTTGATAAATTGTTTGTAGAAGGTTGAATCACATGTGCCTTAAGTAACTTATCATAACACCCCATATTTCAATGAGTAGTAAAGATATTATTATAACATCCCACCTTTCAGTGAGTCGTACAAAGTATTATTATAACACCCCACCTTTCAGTGAGTCGTACAAAGTATTATTATAACACCCCACCTTTCAATGACTCGTACAAAGTATTATCATAACACCCCCTCTTTCAGTGAGTCGTACAATAGTTTACCTGAGATATTCTTATGTTTCATTTTAAAATATATATATATAAAACACTAATATTAATAAACATAGACAATGTTCTAGAACATTCGAGTGTAAAAACAAGTTAGTGACTTTGATCTAAAACAAGTTAATGGCAAAAAAAAATGTCGCATTAGAAAGTACCTTGAATTTAAAGGATGAAAGGGAATTTTGTTTTTTAAGTATCATCTTATAACGTGCTTAATAACAAGCTGGTTTCTGATACTGACAGAAAGTTGCTTAATTACTGTAATTATTTTAAAAGTATTTTTATTTTTGAACCATAATTTCAAAGGATATAATTGAACAATACTGTTGTTAATATTACCTACCGTAGTGGACAGGAATAAAGTCGCCATTGCCCGGATGAACGACCAACTATTTCGAACTTATTTGTTGATCCTCCTAGCGGCGAACATGGGCGTATCACCGATTAGGCTTCCCTTTTTAAGAGTAAGTAAGCCATATTGATCATAACGTGTGTACCAATATCTATAAGAAAAAAATATATATATATTTTTTTAATACACTTTTCCCGTTGTATTTTAATTACTGCTATAATATTGTATTGGTCAATAAATAATAGTTATTTATTCAAATGTTGCCCTTTTATAATTCTAAATACTAACTTGTTAATATTTAAGATGGTATGTTTTACTGTATTATATGCATTTTAAATTTCAAGTTACTCTCTGTTACGATGAGAATTTTATTATTTTGTAAATTGTTGTCTAGCTTTTGTTTACAACTAAATGTTCCTCTTGGACTGTTGTTTAGTTATATAAGTGGGGCGGGTGCGACTTAGTGGTTAGAGTGCCACGATGTAGATCTGGAGGTCCAAGGTTCGAGTTCCACACTTTTATCTGTGGGAAGGTTATTTATAATAGCTGTAGATCAGTTAAAAGTAGCCCTGATAACAGTAATAAGTTAATAACGATACTGTTGATCCAAGTGTTTATCTCCCGTGAGGTTTGTTGCCTAGTAACGATTTTTTGTCGACACGTAAGTTCCGTATATATTTGTGCTAGGCCTACTTCGAATCCATGCTATACCACAAAATATTTCTCGCACTTTAAATACGATTATACGAACGATTTCCTCTAAAGCCAAGAATCGATAAGCTGGAAAACATAGGTACGATAAATTTGACCACAGTCAACTTGGTAACATGGTATTTGTGTGTGAGGGGGTCAGTCTGGACTACACTGTTTTGTGTGTCAAGATGTGGTGTTCGAAACGTGACACCGGTAAACATCTGCGCACATTCGGCTGTCAGCGCGTTATAAAAGTGATAGTCAGTATCATTATTTGTCTCAAAAAAAGCCGGACAAAACTCTGCTGGCGGCAGCTAGTGCAGGCTGGTTGCCTTTCCTCTAGTTAGTAACTAAACATTAGACCCCCGGCTATGCCTGAATTTTAGGGGTCTCTGCATGACCCGACCGTTGTCCCACCCACGTGCGTACAAGGTACCGTTTAGGCTTAACTTATTTCTATTACTTTTCTTCCAGGCTGACTATTCTGACTCGTCAATTTTAGTGAGTGTCTTACTCCTGGAGAAACCACCATCACTAAGTGAGTAAACCACGTTTAAGAAAATTCACGACTGAACTACAATAAATATGAAGTCCGTTGTAAAACATACTATTATGAACACTTCAACATATTTGATAATTACCCTACTTCAACATTAAAACTTAAACAACAGACTTATTATATTTTTTTCATTTGGACTGAACAGGGTAATTTTGAAAAGCAAGGCCTTGAATTCGGAGATTAAGTATGGAAAAGTCACAGAAATGGTGGCTGTATTCACTGAAGTATCCAGTTATCTTAGTTAATACTTATTCAACTCATTTTCATTGAGATATATATATAGAAACTGTAAACGAAGCGGACAAGTTGGATCAAACTGATGAAAATTTTATCCCTCACTTGAATTTATTAAGTGTTTTAGTATGTTTTAATAACCACACTTCAGAATTTCACACTGTAACAGTTTTTGTCAAGTAGATTTCTTATACAAATAGTGTCTGTGGCATACCAACCGGCCTGAAGATCCATGGTATTAGCCGAAAGGTCTCGTTGTCACTGCACGTGGCAGTTATAGTGTTTGACTTATTATAAAACACTCTATTGTTTCTCTGTCACTCAGAAGTTCTTATTAATAACCACGTTGACCAAACTTATAAAATAACAGTTAATCTTAAACTATTTTAAAGTTGGTGTCAAGAGCCCCTAAAATAACAGTTAATATTAAACTAGTTTAAAGTTGGTGTCAAGAGCCCCCCAAAATAACAGTTAATCTTAAACTATTTTAAAGTTGGTGTCAAGAGCCCCCAAAATAACAGTTAATCTTGAACTATTTTAAAGTTCGTGTCAAGAGCCCCCAAAATAACAGTTAATCTTAAACTATTTTAAAGTTCGTGTCAAGAGCGCCCAAAATAACAGTTAATCTTGAACTATTTTAAAGTTGGTGTCAAGAGCCCCAAAATAACAGTTAATCTTAAACTATTTTAAAGTTCGTGTCAAGAGCCCCCAAAATAACAGTTAATCTTAAACTAGTTTAAAGTTGGTGTCAAGAGCCCCCAAAATAACAGTTAATCTTAAACTATTTTAAAGTTTTTGTCAAGAGCCCCCAAAATAACAGTTAATCTTAAACTATTTTAAAGTTGGTGTCAAGAGCCCCCCAAAATAACAGTTAATCTTAAACTATTTTAAAGTTGGTGTCAAGATCCTCCAAAATTAACCAATTCTTTGGAAAGTGGTTTAATTTCAAACCGATTTATCATTTTATTTATTGAGCCGTATTCAAAATATTAATTTTTTTCCTGTAGCTGGATTCTCCCTGCTTAATGTTGATGACTTCCGTATACCTAGGAAGACCGAGAAAAACGCGGGAAGAGTAGAGAACATAGACGAATGTGCAGCGAAGTGTCTTCAGGAAAAATCTCCTTTGTGCAAGTTAGTCTCTCGTGTAGTTTCTCGACCCAACTCGGAGTGAAAAAAACAACAACAAAACCTTCTCAAGTTACTGATTTAATGCCTTGTTTGAGTGTTGTTAAGCACAAAGCCAGACATTGTGGCTTGCCCAACACGGGTATAGAAACCCGATTTTTAACGTCGTAATCCTGCAGACTTAGCGCTGAGCTTCTGTGGGCTGATGTGTCGCGATGATTTCGAAATGTGTAAAAAAGTTGGCCAAAAATATGACTTGCGCATTCAGAAAAAAAAATCTTGAAAAAATAAATCCCTCTAATATGTATCTTTAGCCATTGTTTTTATTCCAGAAGGTTCCGCTAAGCATTAACTACATCATAAACTACGCCATCTATAAACCAGAATGATCCCTATTCATCCTATATTTAAAGCACAACTAGAATTAAAAATAGAAACAAAATGGCTGCTTATGAAGTTACTAAAACTTTTGATAAAATATAATAAAATAATGTCGTAAGTTATTGTAAGTGTTTATGTAAACTCATAAGTATTTTAATAGATATGCAAGTAGCTAAATCAACAAAAATACTACATATTATTTGATTCTTCTAAATATAACTTAAATAAATCATAATAACTATTTAAAATACAGTAAGAACCCTAAGCCTAGACACAGAAATGTTTCCCACATATAATTCGTCGTAACGCACCACTGCATTCAATAGTAGATTAGGCTTAACGTAACTTAAGCCTTTTCTACACCATTTATCTCTTTGGTTATACTTCGTATTTAGATCTAATAATCAAACATGAAGAAACTTTAAATCTCGGTTATTGTTTGATCACAGATCGATCCACTATTGCGATCATCAATGTTTCCTCAACCCCAAAGACATCTCTGAAGAGTGGGGAGATCCAGTTGGAAATTACAAAAACTGTGATTTCTATATACGTAAGTAATTGAAACTTTTGGAAATGTAAAACTATCATTGCTTTAAAGTTCAGAACATGTTTCATAGCACTAGTTGTGAATAATAAAGATAATTTATAATAATATACTATTATCATATTAATATTTTTGTCTGATTTTTGCTACTTTTGTGCGTTTTGTCTTTTCATAATAACAATATTTTACTTTAATGTGTACAAGGCATTTTAATTCATCATTGTAAAATCAT